GTATCTATGCTGGAGGGGCCACAGGCAGCCTTTCGCAGCCAGCCAGCCGCTACTCCTCTCGGGAACAGCTGGACCTGCTCCTCCGGCGGCAACTCAGCCGTGAGCGACTGGAGGAGGCCCCTGCCCCTATGCTTCATCCCCTGAATCGGCCAGGTTCCCAAGAACGCCTGGATGCCGCGCCAGGCCGCCTGGAGCCCAGGGACCGGGGCAGCACCCTACCACGGAGGCAGCCACCGAGGGACTACCCTGCTGCCAGGGCCGGCCGCTTCGGGTCACGGGATGCTCTGGACCTAAGGGCGCCCTGCGAGTGGTTGAGCACACTGCCCCTGCCCCACAGTGCCCGGAACCTTGACCCACAGCCCCCGCCTCTGCCCCTGTCTCCCCAGCGGCAACTCTCAAGGGACCCCCTCTTGCCATCCCGGCCCCTGGATTCTCTGTCCAGGAGATCGAACTCAGGGGAGCAGCTGGACCGTGTGCCTAGCCGGCACCCCTCACGAGAAGGCCTCGGGCCACCCCCGCAGCTGCTCAGAGTTAGGGAGGACCCAGCCAGTGGCCCTAGCCATGGCCCCTCTACAGAGCAGCTGGACATTCTCTCCTCTATCCTTGCCTCCTTCAACTCCTCGGCTCTCTCCTCCTCTGTGCAGTCCTCAAGCACGCCCTCGGGCCCTCACACCACTGCCACGCCTTCTGTCACAGCCTCTGCGCTTGGGCCCTCCACACCACGCTCTGCCACATCCCATAGCATCTCAGAGCTATCTCCAGACTCAGAGTAAGCAGGCTCTAGCCACTTGCCCTTACCCTCATCAGCTTAAGGCAACCTCCTGTGTACCCTGGCCTGTGTTCTGCCACAAAATGGGGTGTGGGTTGGCCCTGGCTTAGCACAGCCAGGGTGCCATGGGCTGGGGGCAGAAATCTGGCGGGGAATGGTGGTGTGATTAGCCGGAACTTGCAGGGTGTATGATTGGTGCCAGCCACCCTCCCCTGTACCTCCTGGGCGAAGGAAGAGAGATAGGTGCCTTCCGGAGGGCTTGAACAAGAGGAGGGGGTGAGAGCAGGTGCCAAGGCTTGGCAGTAGGAGGTAACCTGGTATGTGGAAGGGGCAAGGAGGAGAGGAAGAGTCATTGCCTGAGAGGCTTTGTTTAGGAGGTGGTATGGGATAAGGAGGGGCCAGAAGTGGTGCCAGGATATGGGCATCTTCTATTCCAGGCTGAAGAGCTAACTTTGAAAGTAAGTCATTTATCCATTGATTGATCGATTGATTTAGTCAATGTTAGGTTCCTCGTGCCTGTGGGCACCGTGAGGTGGAGCACGTAGGAACTGAGCTGGGACCTGGTGCGTTTCAGGTGCCTATGGGGCATCTGTGGGGTAGGGAAAAGCAGTCGTACCTGGGAAGCAGCTGGATACACAGGAGCCAGAGGAGTGGGGAGGAAACAAGGGCTGCGAGGCTTTGGAAACCAAGAGGAGGAGAGTTGAGTTTTGAGAAGGAGGAACAGCTAGGTCAGGCTCTGTGGAGGGCTGCAGGGCGAAAGGAGGCTTTGGGGAGAAGGGGACCCCAGGTGTGGGACAGGAGGCCAATAGAAGAACCCAGGCAGAGTCCGAGGAAGAGAAAGGAAGGAGGAGCAGGGGACTTGGGGCCTGGTGCCAGGGACTCTGGAAGGGTGCTGGGGGAGGGTTGAGGGAGAGCTATGAGTATTGCCTGGACCCAACTGCAGCCCAACTTTGGGGTCTGACTGGTGGGGGTCGGGGGTGGGCCTGGGGGGCTGAGCAGGGGTTTGGGTTCAGGAATCACACTTGACTTCTCCGAGTCTCTGTTTCCATATCTGTAAAATGTGTCTGTAGTAACAAACTTTCTGAGATGTGGAGATTTTTTGAGACAAAAATCTGTCAAGTGCTTAATGTAGTATTTGTACATAGTAGGTGCTCGCTGAATGCCTAGAGAGAAGACAGGAGGCCGTGGGGCCTTGCTGATGAGTCTTGGGGTGCAGAAGGGGTAAAGGGGCTTGAGAACCCTGAAATAGGTGTAAGGGGGCTGGGGACTGAGAGGCAAAGGTGATGGGGTTGGGGGAAGATGGTGGGGGCCCAGGCTGTGGTGGAAGCCCAGAGCCCCCTGACTGAATTCTCTCAGCAACCACCTCTGACTACCGCATTCAACTCTGCAGAGTTCCCAGAAGCGAGGGGCACTCCTGAGGGGCAGACTCACGGACCAGGAATGGCTGAGGGCAATGGAAGATTAGAGCTAACAGAAGAGACTCCGGGAGTCAGGGGCTGATCCCCAGGCAGCCTCCTGCCCGCCCCCCAGCTCTCCCTGTTGCTGCAGTGCTGAGGCTCCTTGCTCTCTCTGTGAGCAAATCCCGCCATGCGTGTAACAGGTGCAGGGGGAAGAACTGAAAGGAGGACTTTTATACGTTTTGTACCTTTGTAACCAGAGAGATATGCTTATGTTATTTTTCAGCTTTTCTGTCTCCTGGGGTTCTGAGGCTGGGCTGGGAGGGGAAGGGGACAGAGGGTAGAGTTTGGCCCCATTTGGGTCCCTGGCAAACCATATGCTCTTTCCTCTCATCTTACTGGGGCGGATTCAGACAGGAAGGGCAAGTAGCCTCCCACCCATTGATCTGAATATTGTTAGGGCCCAAAGTACAGAGCTGATCTTTGCTTTTTCTTGGATGCCCCAAGGGCCAAACTTCAGGGACAAGGGGTTGGTCTTGGAAACAGGGGTCCTCTGACCTCCTCACAGGGCTTGCTCACGCTGCCCCTCCCCGTGGATGTGTGTGTTTATTATGTGGAGTCCCTGCCACTTACTGCCTTATGACCTAGGACTGATGCTGTGGGGTGCTGGTGGAGCAGCAGATGTCATGTTTACAGAGCAAGGCTTCCCTTTTCTCTCCTGGGGAGGGGCTCAGGCCTCTGTTCAGACATTCCTGCAGAGGGTGGACTAGGGGGTCATTTGCCAGCCCCTACCCCTGCTATGAGCAAAAGTTGTCCATGGTGCCATTTGATGCCCTGACCCTGCCCTGTGCTAGAATTTCTTCCGAGGGGTAGGGTAGGAGTGGGGGCAAGGGGAGCAAAAGCAAGGGAATTGAAGACACAGAATGTAGGTGCCACTGCCTCCCATGTTTACAGGACCCTCCCTGGCCCTTGGCACCTGGGCTGCAGTAACTAGTTCCATCCTACTCTATTTTCTTCTATAGGGAAAAATGACTGTTAGGACCCTGTTCACAAAACTCTCTTTTATTACTTTGTCTGATGTCCAGAACTGGGGACTTCTAGATTTTGTTACTTTGTTTACAGGTCAAGATTTAAAACATTTTACAAGTTTGTTTACAACTGAAAACTTTGAACTTTTACACTTTGTTTACAGTTGAGAATGTGTTTTTCCCCCTTTGTTTACAAGTGAAAGATAGAGAAGATGGGAGAGGGGCTTGAGGACCCTGGACCTGGCCATCTTGAGGAGTTTCTAGCCTCTACCTCTCCCAGGCCAAAGGCCAGCCCTGAGCCCCCTGTTGAACAGCAGACCCAGAAATCCTCCAGAGCGGGCATCCTTTTACCGCTACGAACAATGGGTTGTGCAGGGTTGTAGGGGGTTCTGTGCAGACACCCCCCTGCCCCTTCCCCGCACATACTCTTGGGAGGCAGTTTCCAAGGAGATTAAAAGTTCTTCTTCACTGACTGGTGCCAAATCCGCCAGCCAGGACCCCAGCTCTCCTCACCCAGCAGAATGACCCCAGCCCTTGAAGGGTTAAGGGGCCCACTGTGGGGAGAGGGGGTCGTCCTTGCTATGTCCTAGGTTCTATAGATGTCCCTCGGTGGGGGTCCCCTGCTCCAGCCCAGTGGCCCTTTCCCTGTCTGTGTAAATTGTTCCGTGAAGCCGCGCTCTGTTTTGGGAATAAACTTCTATAGAAAATGGTTGTTGCCTCTTTCTGTTTGGGGGTGGGGGTGTAGGGTAGGAAGGTGGCTATGAATGATTCAGGCCAGGTTGACCTTTGGGAGAAATCTGAGCTCTGCACCCCCCTCAATATTCAGTTATTTTTAGCACATTTCGTCTGACATTTGGACCAGGTTCCCATCTCTTTCACCCCTAATTCTGGCCTGGCGCCTTGTGATCGGGGCCTGAAGTACGAGCACAGGTGCTGGGAGTAAGGTGCCAGGGAAACTCCTCTCTCTCAAGGTGGCAGCATGATGACTTGGTCTTCAGGGTGTGCAATTGTAACCTCGAATTTGCCCTGGCTAGGGGCCCAGTCAACCCTAGGAACTGCCCTTGCTAACCCCTCAGCCCATTAACAGCACTGACCCCCACCAGCCTCTAGGACTTGGACCTGGCTGGGACATCGCGTTCCTTCTCCGCTCACGCAGAAATCTTTGGACAGAAACCGAGATGCCAGGCTGTGCTCTGTATGGAGGAAGGGAAACTCTCAGTCTCATTCTGGGTCTGGGTGTCCAGAGTTGAAGGGCAGCCTAGGGCACCTTCGGTGTCAGACATTGCCTGATCTTAAGAGGAGAGACTGAAGGTGGCGCCCGCAGAGACCTGATACCCCAAGGAGAGCTATGGCTCTGGCCACCAGTAGCGCCCACAGGCAGCCCATTGGCGGGTTTCTCGCCCCATCCCGCGGGGTCCTTCCACGAGAAGCCAAGACTTGGTATTCGCCTTTGTCGTACTCAGGGACCTGGGGCCGCGGCTATGGCCAGCTCCGCGCAGGTCTTTAGTCCCAGTTCTGCAGTTCTACCAGGTTTAGACAGGAGATTAAAAGTGAGCCCGGAGGGGCAGTACTAACCAGGCCGCAGGGGAGGAAGGGGTTAAATCTTCCGCCTTGGGGCTAGCCCAGCCCGAAGCTTGTCACTTAGGCCCCGCCCGACCACTCTGATTCGTCCAAGCCTTCCCTGTCCTATCCGGGGATTGGCCCCTCGGAGAGCGCCGAAGGTCCTCATCCCGGCCCCGCCTCCCGAGCCTCAGCGGCCTCCAGCCCCAGTTCCTGCAGCAGCCGGCAATTGGCAGCCCGCTAGCCATGGGGCTGTCGGAAGCGTTGGGGTGAGTGCAGGGCGTGGCCCTGGTTCCCCGTGTCTGTGTCCGCGAGCCGCCGCGTGGTCTCGGTGCAGAAGCCGGCTTGGGTTAGCTCCGAAGGCGTACCGCCAAGTCCGGAGCAGGCATCTGCCTGCAACGCCTGTGTTTGCCGCTTTGCCGATTTTCTGCAGGCAGCTATCCCCTGAAGCGAGGGATGGGGGCGGGAACTGGCGCGACCCTCTCTCCTGAGGACTGTGCGGGAAGCCACTCGAACGCCGCCCGCGAGCTGGCTTCGGGCCGCGGGAGGCGGCTGAGTGTGGAGGAGACCCGGCCCAGGAGGTGCGCAGATGGGCGCGTTGGGGCGGGAGGTCGTCGTTGCACGGAGTCCATAACGGTGTCCTGAACCCACCTAGCTGTACAACTGATCCCGGATACTGGGATACGGCTGGAAGGGCTGCGGTGCCCTCCCAGAGGGAGGGGCCAATGATCTAGGCCCCGCCCTCCAAACACGCGCTCTGATGGGTGGTGGGAGCGCTTTAAGAAGACCTGCGTGACTCACGGAGGAGGGGCAAGGGGGCTCAAAGATCTCTGTGAGACTGCGGTGCCAAGAGTCTCTGAGGATCTTCCTTGTGCGCACTCTACTCCCTTCTCCAAGCAGGACATCCAGGTTAGAGGCTCTTCCCAGGCGAGTTCCTACCCCTCCGGTGGGATCCTACCCCTAGGTCAGAGCTCACAGATCAGAACTTCCCTGAAAATTTTCCCAGCTGGGGAGTTTCCCCTCAGGGAAGATTCCTGCGCAGCGGAGATCTATTCTCAGGTGAAAGCTTTCACCCATTCCAGGTGGGAGCCTCCCCCAGGTAAGAGCTTCTCTTAGGTGAGAGTACCTTCCACATGAGAACTTTACTGGTAGGTGAAAACTTTCCCCACTGAGAAAGCTTCCTCCTCAGTATGAGCTACCCCGCCCCCCCCCCCCCTTAAGAATTCCCTCGCCTCCAGATCTCCTATTCATAGAGGAGATCCACCTCCCGCTTCAGGTGGGAGCCTGGGTAGATAAGAGATTTTCCCAAGACAGAACATACCTGGCTGATGAAAACTTTCCTGTCAGTTGAGAGCTTTCCCCTACGTGAGATCTCACCTGGGAACGGGAGTTCTTGAAGGGGGGGGGATCTTCCCACTTTGAGTGGGAGCTTGCCTTTCCAGGTGAGACCCCTTTCTCCAGGTGAGAACCATTCCCTGGCTTTGTGAGATTAAGCCTGAGTTTGTCCACAACCTGGACCCCGGGGCTGGAGGCCCAGGGGCAATCTTAGCCTCAGCACCTTCCTTCCCTTAGAGGGGAGCCCCTCTAAAGAGGAGCCTGCCTGAAGAGCCGGAACCCTGGTTGCTGGATCCCTTCCTTGTGTGTGCTCTCAGATGGCCAGCACGGAGCTCATGGAACAGCTGGATAAGGACTCAGAGACTAAACGGGGATTGGCTGGGGGATGGGCTGGCGGGGGAGGGGGACAGTCAGCCTGGGACCTGGACCTGGTAGAGCGCTCACAGCTGTCCCTGGGTTGGAGGTATGGATTGTATTCATCCTGATGTGTTTTTGTAGGGAACTTTGGCCCAGTGAGAGACTTGTGCTAGACAAAGTTCAGGGATTGCCACTGGCTGGGCGTGGGGCCAGCTGGGAGCTGGACCTACCTAGATCTTGAGGATGACTCTCTGACTCCAGGTGGAAGTGTGAGGGAGGTTGGACCAGGGTTACACTCACTATGACTCTGGTCTTGCCACCCCAGTCAGAGGGACACAGAGGCACTGTTGCCTGTGACGCAGGCCATGGAGCTGAGGAAGCGAAACTACTACGTAGAACGGCCACTGCTGAATCAGGAACAGCTGGAGGAGCTGGGATGCTTGACCTCAGCCACCGAGACCCACCAGTGGCGAACCTGGTTTCAGTAAGGCTGAGGGTGGGGGCTGGGGGCACCGACAGGACTTAGGTAGACTGTGTTCCCAATGCCTACCATTGTGTCCTCAGGTGCTCCTACACTCGGGCCCGAGCCCTTCTCCTCCAACACCTCCCAGTTTTGGCGTGGCTACCCCGGTATCCCGTGCGTGACTGGCTCCTAGGTGACCTGTTGGCTGGCCTGAGTGTGGCCATTATGCAGCTACCACAGGGTGAGCCATACCTGACCCAGAGGCTGTACCCTCAGTCTTTGGGGGGTGATCTGCAGCCCTTCAAGGCCCTGGCCTGGAAGCCCTGTGGTCTTGTGCCCACCCACCACCCACCCGCATCTGAAGCTTTGAGCCCTGCCCCTGGAACTATGGACCATGACCTAGGGCTGGGATTCCCTCATCCTTTTCAAGGCCCAGTCTTCCAAGCCTACATTGCTACCATTTCGCCTCCAGGCCTGGCCTATGCCCTCCTTGCTGGACTGCCCCCCGTGTTTGGCCTCTACAGCTCTTTCTATCCTGTGTTTATCTACTTTCTGTTTGGCACTTCCCGGCACATCTCCGTGGGTGAGTGGAGCCAGGCTCAGCCGTGCAGGAGGATGTCCACGTTCCCCCATGGAGGACAGGATGAGGGCAGGCTGAGGAGGGCAAGGGAACTTAGGGAAGGGGACAGCATTGGTGTTGGGCTACTGGGAGACTGGCCCAAGGTCATTCCCAGGCAGGACTAGGCCTCCGACTGTGGGGCCACAGATTCAGGATAGCTCCTGGCTCCGGGAGGATGTGTGTGAGGCATTGCAAGGGGCCCAGAGCTTGGCAGAGGCCTGACTAGCCCCCTTTCCTCATTTCACCTTCCACGAGGGGAATGATTCTGAGCCGATGGACATGAGTGGAACAGGGCAGATGATGCAGGGCCAACGTTTCTAGCCACCCTCAAGAGCCCCTAAGCTCTGGGTTCATACATGACCACCAGCATTGCCTCTGTTTGTATGGCATAGTCTGAAGATACTTGTCTAGAGCTGAATGTCTCCTGGCCTCTGCCTTAAGGACAGGGCTCCTGGTTAGGGCAGTGCCCTCTCTCCTTCAGACCTGCCCTGACCTGTCCCTGCAGGTACCTTTGCTGTCATGTCTGTAATGGTGGGCAGTGTGACGGAATCCCTGGCCCCGGATGAGGACTTCCTGCAGGCTGAGAATGCTACAGTCGATGAGGAGGCCAGAGATGCTGCCCGGGTGCAACTGGCCGCCACACTCAGTGTCCTGGTCGGCCTCTTCCAGGTGCGGAGCAGTCAGGAGTATGTGTTTCCCACCCCCACTGCTGCCAACCCCGTCCCCACCCTCACCTGCCAGTTCCCCTGAGTCTGACCATCGCTGCCCTTCTCACTATTGCTGTTTACTCATGCCCCTTGGATTCCACCTGCCCCGGGTTGTGCTCTAACTGCCCTGAGGGCCTTTGTCTTCCCTGACTGTCCTTGGCCACCCCACAGGTGGGGCTGGGCCTGGTCCACTTCGGCTTCGTGGTCACCTACCTGTCAGAGCCTCTGGTCCGCGGCTATACCACAGCTGCGTCCATACAGGTCTTCGTCTCGCAGCTCAAGTATGTGTTTGGCCTCCAACTGAGCAGCCGCTCTGGGCCGCTGTCCCTCATCTATGTGAGTGAGGGTGGGAGGAGGGACATGTAGGGTGTGCTCCACCATCTGGAGTGCTGGCTGTGACCCTGCCTCCCCTCAGACAGTTCTGGAGGTCTGCTGGAAGCTGCCCCAGAGCGTGGTTGGCACTGTGGTCACCGCATTGGTGGCAGGAGTGGTGCTGGTGCTGGTGAAACTGCTGAATGACAAACTGCAGCGACATCTGCCCCTGCCGCTCCCTGGGGAACTGCTCACGGTTCGGATTCTTCGGGGCAGGGGGGAAGGGCAAGGGAGGATATGTCCCTGCCAGCAGGTACCCTCGGGGATTTAAAGACCAGCCAGAGTGGGCACCAGGGAGAGTTCCTGGGGAGTGGCTGGAACCACAGCAGAAAGGTCCCATGTTGGTGCCTTCCAGTCCCCAAACAGCACCTTACCCGGTTGTCCACTTCTCCCCATCTCCTGAAGGCTTTGCTTCAGGCCCCCTTCTTCCCTGCCAAAGTAGTTTCTCCACACTCTGACTGTCCTCTCCCCCCAGCTCATCGGAGCCACAGGCATCTCCTATGGCGTAGGTCTGAAGCGCAGATTTGGGGTGGATGTCGTGGGCAACATTCCTGCAGGGTGAGCTCTGGCCCCTGTCGGGTTAGGGAGGGGTGGGCGGCCAGGGCCAGCACCCTCCTTTGGCCTCACAGATGCCCTTTGCAGGCTGGTGCCCCCAGTGGCCCCCAACCCCCAGCTGTTCGCCAGTCTTGTGGGCTATGCCTTCACCATCGCCGTGGTTGGTTTCGCCATTGCCATCTCACTGGGGAAGATCTTCGCCCTGAGGCACGGCTACCGGGTGGACAGCAACCAGGTCTGGCGGCAGGATATGGGGGCAGCTGGGTAAACACAGATGCCAGGGCCTGGGGGGTGGGGGTGGGGCAGTGTGTGGTATAGCAGGTGGGACAGGGGGAAATAGCAAACAAGGGGCGCCTGGGTGGATCGGTCAGTCGGTTAAGCATCCGACTTTGGCTCAGGTCATGATCACACGGTTTGTGGGTTTGAGCCCCATGTTGGGGTCTGGGCTGACAGCCTGGAGCCTGCTTCAGATTCTGTGTTTCTCTCTCTGCCCCTCCCCCGCTCATGCTCTGTCTCTGTCTCTCAAAAATAAATAAACATTAAAAAGAAAGAAAAGAAACAGCAAACAAATGTGCTGGGGCCACGCAGGGGACTGGGACAGTAGCCAGGGCATTCGGGACAGTAGTCAAGTCTGGAGGCTGTTGAATGAGGATGGAGGTAGGGGACACCTGGGCCTAGATACAGTGGTACGGTGACCAGACATGACACACCCGCACTTCCCTCCACCAGGAGCTGGTGGCTCTCGGCCTCAGTAACCTCGTCGGGGGCATCTTCCAGTGCTTCCCTGTGAGCTGCTCCATGTCCCGCAGCCTGGTACAGGAGAGCACCGGGGGCAACACGCAGGTGGGCTTCGGGTGCGGGTGTGCATCTGTGCGCACGCACACCGCTCTGGCTGGGCGGTCCTGCCTGCTCCTCCCTGCACCCTACTCCCCTACCCTCCACCCCACCCCACCCCCCTGCTCACTCCCACCCTGCAGGTGGCTGGGGCTGTCTCCTCCCTCTTCATCCTCATTATCATCGTCAAACTTGGGGAACTCTTCCAAGACCTGCCCAAGGTGAGCCGCCTCCTCCCCACAGCCAGGCTGGAGGGACCTGGCCAGGCCAGGGGCTCAAATCAGTCAGGTCCTAGGTGAGGGGCAGGGACACAAGCTCATGCCCTGTTTTTCAAGGTTGAGCTCTTTGGGGTGGGATTTGGAGTTAAGGATCAGGGATTGGAACCCTTCCGAGTGAGATCCAAGTTGCTCAGTTCAGGGGGCAGGTGGCGGCTGGCGTCGTGCGGGGCTCAGGCCCGGGTGGTCAGGGTTGTCAGCACCTGGGCGCCTCTCGGAAGTCCCTGGTGACACTCCCCTCACCCAGGCAGTCCTGGCAGCCGTCATTATCGTGAACCTGAAGGGCATGTTGAAGCAGTTCACCGACATATGTTCCCTCTGGAAGGCAAATCGAGTGGATCTGGTGAGAGGCCTGTGAGCCCATGGGTGGGGGTGGGGACCTACAGCAGGGCCCCCTCTAGAGTCTGTTGACCGCTGCCCTTCTGCTTCTAGCTCATCTGGCTGGTGACCTTTGTGGCCACCATCCTGCTGAACCTGGACCTTGGCCTGGCCGTTGCAGTGGTCTTCTCCCTGCTGCTTGTGGTGTTCCGTACGCAGCTGTGAGTCTCCCCTCTGGGTCCCCCCATCCCAGCTCGTGAGGGAGCGAGGCCCACACTTTCTCCCCACCGCTTTCCTGCATCTCGGGGGTCACCCAGGCTCCCTGGTACCCCCTCGCTGCCCCTTCCTCACATGGTCTCCTTCACAGGCCCCGCTACTCTATCTTGGGGCAGGTGCCAGACACGGATATTTACCGAGATGTGGCTGAGTACTCAGAGGTGGGTGGCAGGGGCTGAGCAGGAGGCCTGGGGGTGGGACAGAGGCTGAATGGGCCTTTGTTAGTCTTGTCTGCGCCTGGCAAAGACCCTGGGGGCTGAGGGTACTTTGGTCCTTGGAGCTTCAGGGGAGGAGTTCTAGTCTGCCACCCTCCTCAGAGCTAGGAAGGGACAGAGGAGGAGTGGATAGAGGGGCCATGGGAGCCTGAGGAGAGGGGTCTGTCTTATCCTGTGGAGCAGCTCTGGGACAGGAATGCTGGTGGGGCAGGAGCCTGGGGCACCAGGGTGAAGGAGAGGCTGTTTCTGATCTGATCAGCAGAGTTTCTACATCTCTATCATTCGTTTACCTCCTGAGAAGTTTCATGCTTAATAGTAGGGGCAGTGGAATAAAACAAGCCCATTCCTGCTGACTTGGAGACTTGGAGTCTGAGTACAGTATCATCAGGCAGAGGGAGGAGTGGTCAGGAGGGGGAGCAGCTCAGCTGGATGGAAAGGGAGGTGGGGGCACATTGTGCAGGCCCAAGTGCTGAGCAGAGACCTGGACTGTGTCCTGGGTGGAATGGGAGCTGGGGAGGGTCTCTCTGTGTACATGCAGAAAACAGACCACAGAGTGGGGGGTGGAGACCCAAGAGGAGGCCTAAGAGCCTAGCCTGGGTTTTAACAGAAGGGAGGGGAGATGGGAAGGGAAGGTTCAGGGTGCCCTGGAGGAAGCTTTGACGGGCTTGGCTGAGGGTCTGGGTGGTGGGGGTGAGGGGTAGGGAGCAGGACGAGGTGTTAGGGTTATGTAGCCAAACCTGTGGCCCAAGGTCTGGGAGGGCAGGGGCTTGGTGATGGGGGGCCCTTGGGCCATACAGGAGAGGAAAGCAGGAGAGCAAGATACAACCAGGAGAGCAGAGGGCTCAGCCACCCCCAACCCTGACCCATCCCTAGGCCAGGGAGGTCCCAGGCGTGAAGATCTTCCGCTCCTCAGCCACCATGTACTTTGCTAATGCTGAGCTCTACAGCGACGCACTGAAGCAGAGGGTGAGGCCTGGGGTCCCCAGGGTGAGTGTCATAGGGTCCCTTACCTCCCCAGAATGTCTGCATCCCTTCTGACATTTCTCTCTAGTGCGGTGTGGATGTTGACCACCTCATCTCCCGGAAGAAGAAGCTGGTCAAGAAGCAGGAGCAAAAGCTGAAGCGACTGAAGAAGCTCCAGAAACAGGCAGGGGCCTCTCTGAGCCAGGGACTCCTGGCCTCCTGACTTCTTAACCTCATTCATTCCCCTCTTCTCCCTGATGCCCCCAGGACCCCTGCTTTGCTCCCCTGGTGGGTCAGTGCTCTGGGTGGAGTTTTGTTTTCTCCCACATCCTAAGCCAGTAACAAGCGTGGACCACCACAATCCTTTTCCAGTCTGGCTGTTCCTGGAGCTGGTCAGAACCCCACCACCTTCAGTCTGGCAGCCCTGGGTCCCAAGCTTCAGTTCCTGGCCTGCCTACCTGCCCAAAGCCTGGGGGTGGTACCAGACTTGCCTGGCTTGGCTGTCAGATGACAGCTGGGACAGCTTTTTATGGCCCCTCTCTTCCCCTGACCTAGACTGCCGCCTCCAAGGACACTTCTGTTTCTATTGAAGTCAACTCCAGCACCAGAGACATGGAGAGCAACAACATGGAGGACTCCAAGGCCGAGGGAGAGGGGTCAGCCATGAGCTGCAGAGATGGGGGTGACCATGCATGTCCTGAGAGGAAGGCCACGGACCTACCAGCTGTGGGTTTTAAGTGGTTGTGCCAGTGGCAGGGGGGTGGGTGGTGGATCAGATGCCCTATGGGGAGAGGTCTGGTGATCTGCCATAGATTCTGCTTGTGGCTCTCTGGTCTGCCATCGGAAGACCTTGAATTTGTAGAGTTCACAAGACCCCACAGTCTGTGCTCATGGGTAAAGGGAAAGGATTGGGAGTGGGGGAAAAATATGGGATCAAAAGGGATGCCAGGCTCAACTAGAGACCCAGATGGTATGCCAGGGTGTCTGCGTTTGCACATGTGTCCCTGGGCCCCCTCCCTGCTCTGCCCTGGCTGACTGAGGGTAGGCTACAATTGCCCAGCACTCTCCCTTCTTAAGCCTCCCTAGTAAGCCTGGGTGCGGGAGGTAACAGAGCAGTATATGCAAGTCTGTATGTGCTCCTGAGTCTGGGCGTCCTCTCCTGTGTGTCCTCATGTGTCCCTCTTGCCTTTGCATACAAGAGACTCCCCACATCCTGGTTCTCCAGTGTCCCCTGAATGTCCCAATATATGTGGGTGTTTACGTGCGTGCTCCCACATCTGACCCTATGTGTCCTTGTATGTCTGTGTGCTCCTTGACATCACCCCTTCATGGGCAGCCTTTGCAGTGTGTCCGGTTTGCCAGCAGGTGAGCACAGGGAATGAGCTAGAAGGTATGGCAGCCAGCGGTCAAGAAGATGCTAAGGCCCCAGATGTGACCACACTGAAAGCCCTGGGCCTGCCTCAGCCGCACTTCCACAGCCTCATCCTGGATCTGGGAGCCCTCTCTTTTGTGGACACTGTGTGCCTCAAGAGCCTGAAGAATGTAAGGGGCTGGGGGCTGGGGACACTCCTAAGAAGAGCCCTGGGAGAGGACAAGTCCCCCTCAAGCCTCCCGACCCCATAACTAGATCCAAGAGCCCTCTGAGCTCCCCCTCAAAACTCCCTCCCACCCCAGCCTCCCTCTTCGGAACCCACAAGGCTCCCTCTGAGTCTGGCCCCCTTTTCTGCTGCAGATTTTCCGTGACTTCCGAGAGATCGAGGTGGAGGTGTACATGGCTGCCTGCCACAGTGCGTGGGGTGGGGACATGAGCGGTCTGGGAGGGGAGTGGGCTCTTCCAGCCAAGGAGTTAAGGTCTCTGAAACTGGAGGTCAGAGGTGTCTTGAGGGGGCAGGGGTCAAGGATCAAGAGTGACTGGAGGTTTAGATGTAGCCTCAGGGGTAGAGGTCAGGGACGAAATGGGTCAGGGTATTCGGGGGACTGGGGTTGGGGTTCCTGGTGGTTCTATGAGTCAGGGGAGACCTATTCCTTGCCTACAGCCCCTGTGGTTGCCCAGCTTGAGGCTGGGCACTTCTTCGATGCATCGATCACTAAGCAGCATCTCTTTGCCTCTGTCCACGACGCTGTCCTCTTTGCCCTCCAACACCCGAGGTCCAGCCCTGCCAGCCCTGTTTTGGTGAGCTGGCCTCTGTCTTGCTGAGCTTTTTGTCTGTCTACTGCTTGTCCCTACCCTGACCCCCAGCTTCAGGAAGTCCACCCTTCCTGGATGGATCTGCCCCTGGTGGACCCATTGCTGCCCCTTCCTGCCTTTAGCTGAAGCTGCTCCTGGGAGCAGGGGTTGCTGTCCTGGGGGAAGGGGCTGATATGTGTCCTTTGGAAACTGACCAGAGCCTCCCCTCCTCTGCCTCCTCAGATGACCAAACTCTGACCATGCTGCCACCCTGCCTGAGACTGCTCCCCTCTGAATGTTGTAACTTGTGAGAACGACCCCCCCCCCC